CTGGCACATGCATGAGAGTACTCTTCCCCAGGTACTTACAGGGCTCATTCGCACACTTCCTGTAAGTGTTTGCTCAAAGGAAGTGACAATGTCTTTAACCTCTTATTTAAAATTGCAAAGCTTTCCTGGGCCATAACACCTTCCCAAGAGCAGCCTGGAAGTGGACGAGGCTTTTCTTACTTATTGGGTCAGAGGAACATATCTTTTGGTGATTGGTTCCAGGGTGACACTTGGTCTGACTGCTGCCCTAGAGCTTCCCCAGTTCATTTTATCTTGTATAATGAACTGACAAACTGTAGAATTTCTTGCCTGGGTTTTAATTTTTTTTTTTTTTGTCTACTCTTTCATGGCCCTTCCATTAGTTAAAAACAAACAAACAAACAAACACAAACAAACAAACTCCATAATGCTGCGGAGTTTTGCATGTTTCTTCATGTATCTACAGGGCATAGAAGAAATATCCATGGTCGCTAAGATGGACCCAGTGATTCTCATCTCCTGGTATTCCTGCCTTTCTTTTACTCTGTCTCATGTCGAAGAAGGACCAGTCAATGTCACTAACAGAATATAGAAGAAATGATGGACTATGACTTCCTAGGTTAGATAGAAAAGTCTTCCAGCTTTCAGCTTGTTCTTTTGGATTTTTCAATTTGCTGCCATGCTGTAAAAATACTTACACAGCCACATGGAGAGGACTGCGTGAACAAGAACCAAATCTCCAGCACCAACTGTTAGCCAAGAGACTGAGTCCTTTTGGAAGGAATTGTCTAATTCCCAGCAATTGAGTCTTTCAGCTGGGCTTCTAACACTGCAAAGCAGAGACAAGCCTTTCTCACTGTATCTTGACTCACAGAAACCAAGAGGGCTAATAAATTATTACTGTTGCTTTAAACCAATACGTTTTGGTGTTATTTGTTATGTAGTAGGAAATAACTAATAAAGTACCCTTAGTATGTTTCCAATAAACATTTATTGAGTGAAAGGATAAATAGAATCGGATTTCCTTCTTACCTTAGTGATCAAATATATCATCTGTAACAAAACTGAAAAACCATTAGAGCAATAGGAATGTTGATTTGGCACCTCAAGATCCAGGCTTGAGTCTGAGATATGCTGCTTATCATCTGGCCCTGTATAATTCACTTAAAGTCTTCACTTCTTAGTTTTCCTGCTCCATAAGTGACAAATAATGGTAACAGTTACAATTATACTACTAATAATATCACCTGCCTGGCAAAGACCTATCGAACATTGTAAACTTCTGGACCTCTGCTAAAACTCATACCGCAACTGGAATTTCCCACTAGGTGAACAAGTAAATCTCCTTTACTTTTAAATCAGTTCCAGTTATCGGTGTAATCCAAAACCAAAAACATCTTGATACAAACATTAATGCCAATGTATATGAAAAAAACAGCAAACAAAACAAGATGACACGTTATGAATAAGATGTCTCACACAGTAGACAGAGGATAACGGTAAGAAGAAAGGAAGGTCAAACCACTTCTCACATATTTCTGTGAACTGATAGTAAAAATATCCTAATTCATCTACCAGGAAAGTCAGAGAGGCCCAAAGGGTTCTGTTTTCACTAAAATTCTGGTTTCTAAAGGTATATTTCAGAAGCCTTAGCTTCTGGTATCTCCCTATGACTGCAATTGTTGAGTAATTGTCACTTCATAGCATCAGATTCATGTTTAAATGCAATAATAAGCCAAAGAGCCATTGTGCTCCTGAGAATATACTTTAAGTGGACAGATTGTGTTGTACACAGATGTCGTGAAAACCAGCAGCTGGCCCCTGGGCCTGCTGCCTCAGCCACAGGTCCCCAGAGAGTACCAGAGGCTCTTACAGGCCACTTACTTACCACAGCATCATCACCGTGTCAGAAAGCTCTTCATACTACTTCAAGAGCAAAGGACACTGTCCTGGGCATGTCATGAAACACTAATAAAAAACTCATCTTACAGGACAAAGAGTTTTCATTTTAGAGAGCCAAGGAAACAAGACCTTCTGACAGCCTGACTAGACAGGGTGAAACATGGTCACCGTGTGATTTGGCCCCTGAGGCCCAAGGAGATGGAGGCTGGAAACAGTGGTCTAGAAAATGTTAGACAGGTCTCAAGCCTGTTTTATTAGCATTGGTCACATCACTTCCTGTGTGTTAGAATGACTGTGATGGGCAATTTAATTAAGCTGCTCTTCATGTGGTAAGTGCAAAAAATCTCTTAAGTTTTACCTTCTGCACTTGGATAAATTGGTAAATAATTGTACTTCAGCAGAATAATACAAATGACTTTCTCAACCTGATCTTTTTTTTTTTTTTTCCCCCATGGAAATGTATGTTGTTTTCACAAATTATTCCACAACATTTAGATATATTTATTTTTACAGCTATGGAATAGGACTATAAAAGCATTGTGAAAAAAAGAGTGATAGCCCTCTCTTTAAGTTAAAATTTTAAATTTATTTTCAAATATTAAAACAATGCTTTTAAATGTCATTGAAAATGTCAGATTTCCTACAACCCTCAACCATTAGAGCCAAGACTGAGATTTGCCGATCTATGGGAACATCGTAGAACAAATTGGCTATTGATCAGGTTTAAGTCTCAATGGTGAATTGGAAGTGTCTTAGATGTTCTTCCAAGGCCCCCAACTAATTAAAGACAGAACCTGAGCCAGTCTATGAACAAAGACAGCCCATACCTACTGCAGCTTCCTCAGGGAAGTCTTTAGAAAATCATAGCTAGGTCTTCTGCCCCTGTACAATAATTGTCAAGCTTTGTCAATATCCAGGAAAGTGCATTCAATAAGTGAAAAAAACCATAAGGAGTGAGGAGTGTATCTAGTAATTCATATTTTTCTTAGAGGAAACTGAATCACCAACAGATATTTTGAATTATTTGAAACATACAGCTAATTATCACCAGAGCTGGGAATATAGGTGTGTGTGTGTGTAATATATGTATATGTGTGTATATATATATATAAAATGCCAGGGAGAGCATGCACATATATAAGAGGAGAAAGCAAGAAAGGGGGGAGGGAGAGAAAGCATCACTCAATGTGGCCTGGTCACACTGCAATTCTTTTTGCTCCAATTCTCCATCCTGTCAGGATCTTGGGCACGCACATGCCTGGAGTGTTTTTAAATGACCAGGCTAGGACTCAAACCTTGAGCATCCATGTGGGATCCAGCTTTCTCTGCACAGTGCTTCACCACTGTGAAGCTACAGGGCTGACCTTTAATGCTGACTTTTAAAAAGATTACAGTTGTGAAAACCAGGCATTAAGAAAATGAGTTTTTCCCCCAAATCATTTTATCTCCTTTTTTAGTATATCAGGAACAAGGACTGGAGGACTCAAACCATAGCATTTGTTCTATGATGCAAAGGCGATAACCTTAGGGGTAACCTGTGAAGGGAGGGCAACAAGCTTACTGATCTACTGAGTAATAGAAAAAGTTAGAGAGGAAATAAAGTTCCTCAAATGGGACCTTCTAGCCAGAAGACTGGAAGTGTAGACGGATTGAGAGGAGCTATAGACTGATCCGGGGCTTAGATTCCGTGTTCTCATGTCTCCTCACATGCTTCCTTCAGTGTTGAGTTTTGATGGGGTGAAGGTGCTTTAGAAACAGCCAGATAAGTCTATAGAACTCTGAGGACACTGAGGTGAGTATTCCAGCATCAGAGAGAATGCAGATCCTTTGAAGAATTCGGATCTTTAACTTGGGTCCATATCCATTCTGGCTCTAGGAAAAAAAAAAATTTTTTTTGAGAGATTTTTGCTCTAGGGCATGTGTGCTTGCCAGAGAGACAGAGACACAGAAAGCCAGAAATCACCCCCTATCCCCTATGGGGAGTGGCCATTCCCTTCTCCTCCATTTTCGTCTTGGGATTTTAGGCATGCATGCACATGTGCCCGGTGTGTATTAAGCCACTGGATCTGGAACATGAACTGGCATCGACTACGTGGGAGTCCAGTGACATAGCCATTATGACATCAGCTGGTCCTAGAAAAAAATTTTTAATTCATGTTGCTAATTAGTTAGCAGTTTTGACAGTATATAAAACTATATTTGCATTCCAGTGTTGATAAAAACATTTTCCTAATAGTTAATAATTACATCTAAGAAAATTGAAGATATATTTTATCTCTCTTTATTTTAAGAAATTTAAAACTTACAGAAAAACTGAAAGAATAAACACTCATATGTACTTCATTAGATTTACCAACTTTTAACTTTCTACCTCTATTAACACCACACACACACATGCAAGCACATATGCATATATGTACCCACATTTATGAACTTTTTCTTAAAAAAGGTCTTAGACATTATAACAACTTATCCCTCAATGCATTGCTTAGGAATAAGAATATTCTACATAACTATGATACCTTTATCGTCCCTTAAAAATGTACAAGTCTATATTATGGAGTACTATCTAGTCCATATTTATATTTCTTCAATTGTCCCAATATGTATTTTTTCTAACCAATTAAAAAAAAATGTGAGTCACTACAGTTTGTTCCTTCTGCATTCAGCAGTTTGGTCTCTTTAATCTTTACATAAAACAGACCTCCCACCCTCATCCCACCCTACTTTTTCACGATATTGACATTTCCCAAGGCTAGGTTGCCTGAAAAAAATCTGTTTTCAAATGTGTATGATGACGCTTGATTGTACAGGCTCATGTTACAAATTATTACAGGTTTTCAGAGGCACATGTATCAAGAACCGTAACAAATTTTCATTTTTGACTATTGGTTAATCAGAGCAAGAGGCTGGATCTCCAGCCAGGCACCAGATGTTTTTACTGAAGGGAGGAAAAAGAGGAGGGAGCATTAAGAGCTTTTAAAGCTTACGTTATTACTTTGATCATGTAAGAAATAATAGTGACATTTCATGCTTGGAAATGTATTGCGAGGCTTTCCTTCTTATTGACACTATATATTACTGAATGCATCAGTTAATATATAACCAGTGTAAAGGACCTGAGAATGCAGTGACAGTCAGGAAGGATATTTTGAAGTTTGAAATGATCCCTATATAAATAGAACGGATCAGCATAACTTTGGGATAAAATTAGCCGACAGTTTGTGGACGCTCCAGCATGTGCCTGTTTGCTTAGGGCTGCTCTCCTGATAAATCACAACAAAGCTTCCGGAGGGAGAGAAAGGATGGACGACACCACTGTCCCTACCACTAAATCTGGAGCTGCCAAGCTAGTTAAGAAAAATTTCCTTGAGGCGCTAAAGTCCAACGACTTCGGAAAACTGAAGGCTATTTTAATCCAAAGGCAAATAGATGTGGACACAGTGTTTGAAGTTGAAGATGAGAATATGGTGTTGGCATCTTACAAACAAGGTAAAAATATAAGGGTAACCATAAGATTGAGAGAAGATAAATTTTTATTTGAGTAATGCACAGCGTTAGTCGTCCACTCTAAACTAGTAACATTTATGGTTTCTTTCAGCATTTAAAAAATATTTCTGACTAGATCTTTTCTTTCTGTTTAAACTAGAACATGACATGGGCTGATATATAGATGTATATATATGTAATTTATGTCTTCTTTTTCCTTTTTTTTTTTTACCATTGTGCCTAGAACTTGAAATCTTGGAAAAATCATATTTAGTAATGCACTGTCTGTTTTACCTTCTTTCTAGGATAACACAAAAGAATCTCTAGATTATAGTTTAACATACTGTTGAGAACTAATTTAGAAAACATGACTAGTTTGTGGACAGGCTACTAATTCTCTGCTAAAAACCATTTAAAGATTTAAAAATTATATATATATATATATATGTATATATATATATATAGAGAGAGAGAGAGAGAGAAAGAGTTATGTGTGTGTATATATAGAGAGAGATGTGTATATATACATAGATGTGTGTGTGTATATGTATGTATATAGAGAGAGGGTATATAAAATTATGTGCTCTGGGAAATGAAAAGAACAGTTCCATTCTTACATATTTTTTATATAAGACCTTCTCTATGTCTGTGTGGATGAAACATAGGATCCCTCCTCCCCTGCTTGGAGAGTTAATGAAAGGATGAAGATGTGCAGGTATCTGGTTGGCTCTCAGCATTTTAGTGTGTTCTCAGTTTAGGCATAAACGATGAATTCAGAAAAACTGAAAAGTTAACTTCTGTCCCTAGACTACAATAATGAAGCAAATGTGCATGTGCTTCACACAGAGTATCTACCTTCTAGAGAATTAAGGGTAACAAACATTAGAACAGAATTTCTCATCGAGAGATTTTCTGGAACTCATGCTTAACAAATCAGAAATAAATGAGAAGCCTGCTGATTCTGATTTCCCAAATCCACGAAGTTAATGGGGGAACTTGAGTACTGAGGCCATCTGGTGAGTGGACTGCAAACAAACACTGCTCAACATCACTTCTGTTTAAACAAAAGATAACATAACTTCTTGTAGATAGCATTTAAAGAGAGACTGTCATTATTTTTCTTGTTTAAAGATGTTTCCTGGTCAGCGCCATCAATTTCCAGATACACATGCTAATGGTATGTGTTTCTACCTCAATTTATTATCCTCTGATTGACAGTTTTAAAAGAAATATAAAATAGTTGAGGCCAGCTCCCGTGCAATTTCCAGGGCTTTATAATAAATGGGTATTGCTATTTTGACTGAAAGATAAAAGTGGTATCTAATTTTTAAAAAAAGTTAACGGGGACTCTGCAAAAGGAAAGGTGCATACTATATCATTAGATTGCCTTTATCTTATGACTTTGTTTAGTGTAAGAATGTCTGAATGCTAAACAAATGTTTAAGGTTTTTATTTTTTTTCCATAACTTATATTTTTATATATATATAAAATAACTCGGGTTCAAGTCAGTGGGTAATTTATTTGACCCCAAGTTGCAAGAATGGCCTTTTCTCATCTCCCAAGCATGCCAAGTTACACAGATTATATGAAATTTCTGAGGTTATAAGCAAGGAAGAGTTTCAGGTACAGGCTGTTGTCAAGCAGGGTGTTTGTTTGTTCTGCTTCCAAAAATGTCAAGACCCCTGAATGAGAAGAAAATGCATTGTTAAATTCTCATCAATATGAGCTAACATCCATAGTCCTTTTGGAACTAAATTTTTATTCATGCTAATCAGTGTTTTCATAGTGTTTGGGCCATGGGATGTGGTTTTCAATTAGGAAGACAGAAAATTATACCCTCTGGGAAATGAGAAGACCCGCTCCATTCTTACGTATGCCAGGTGGATGTATGAACAGAAAGAATAGGATTTATGGTCATATCTTCGGGGTTTATGCAGGAAATAATTTCTCTGTGTTGGGGGGGCACATGTGCATGCACGTATGTGCACAACGTAAGTAGAAAGAAAAGCACTACCTCTGTTTAGTATGAATGTGGGTATTCAGAATCTGTCTCTTCAGTCTTAAACTCAGGGTAGAAATTGATTGTTCTTCAAAGTTTTTCATCTTTGGAGTCCAATTATCTGTCCTTTCGATGTTTTGGTGAGGGACGGAAGTAATGAATTGAATTCTAATAGTTCTGAGCCAAGGAGAAGTAGTTCTAATGATTATATAATTCCTTAAGTCTCAAAGGAATTCTCAGGGAAGAGTGGAATAGTGCAGATCCGAGTGGTCTATACTATTTAGTTAGGTCCTTTTGGGACTGCTACAAGGAATAGGACCCATTTCTCGTGACCTTGAAGGATATGTGGCTGGATTAAACTGGGTGAGACTTCACGAGATCAAACCAGGCCTTCTGGATGTTGAACGCTGTTGAACTGCCCTGTGCTCTCTTTGAGTTTTACCAGGACATTTGAAAAGCTCTACACAGAAAGGTGTACAAATCATAAGTCTGCACCTTGGCTTTCACAAAATCAACCTATCAAACCAGTATCCAGATGAGGAAACAGAACATCACTGTTCACTTTAAAAAAAATAAATAAAAGTTTATTTCTTCTGTGAGAGGGGGACACAGAGACAGAAAGGAAAATGCACATTCAAGGTCTTCATGCCGCAGCCCACTCCCACTCAGGCAGCCAGCACCATGGGCATGCTTGCACATACCCGATGAGCATGAGTACCTAGGGATGCAAACCCATGACCTTGGCATATGACCTTAGCATTGTGGTGCACTGTGCCACCTCTGTGCCTCTGCAGCTGGCCTACTGTGTACTTTAGAAATATGGGAACCTTTAGGTTTTAGTTATTTTTGGCTTGATAAGCAAGACGAAGTGTAAAACCTATAACAGATATCATGCTGCTTTTAAATTTCTTTGTGTGATTAATAATACAATTCTGTATTTAACATTTGATTGCCCTGTAGGGCATTAACCCTAGTATAATCTATCTAAACCATTTTTACTGATTTTAGAACATGCAGCATTTTTCTTCAAGATTTCTAAGAAGTGACCAAATTTTATCCCAAATATAGTCAGACAATATGAAAGTCAGTGTATAATTTTTGGAATGGGAACTCAAAATTCTGCCGGTGAGGAAATCAACTTAGGATGTAAATATTGTTCCTTCAAATTCCCAATGTCATTGATGTGCCAATAATCAAAGGTTGACCTCATATGCAAATATAAAATGGATATGTGAAAATATAAAGTAGATTTTATGAGGAAGATAGAAAAGAGCTATTGGATTATAAGAAGTCTGGAAATTCTTTTCTGCTTCCCTAGTGACACTGGGCCCATCTCATGAGTAGCTTCTTGTAGCCAGCTAACAGAAAGAATTAGAATGATTAGAATCCAGTCTCCAGAATACACATTTAAACTGTGGGTTCTATCTTTTCCCAGCATCCAGTAATAATTCTTAAAGTTAGGGAGATCTCACTTTATTTTTTTAAAGTTACTAGACTTTGTAATCAAATCTTCAGATAAAACAGTATTTTATTAATTCTAAAAATGTCTCTCACTGTTGGCAAACACACACCACAAAAAATGTGCTGATTGGCATTTGAGAGACCCAGGGGAGTGGCAGAGATCTGGGTCTTAAAAGCAAAAGCAAGTAAGTGAAATTGCATTTACCAGATGACTACTTTAAAACAAGATGACTTGAAGAAAATGTAAACACAAGAGCAACATTTTAACTGCCAAACGCAATAAGTACTTGAATAGTCAAGAGATGTCAGTGATATAAAGTTTATCACGAGACAAGCAGGCAACATTTAGAGTGAAAGGGAACTCAGAAGAAATCTCTAAAGAAAACTCCAAGGCACTTCATACTGATTTCCTCGGGCGACTTATATATGAATGTGGTGACATGAACAACTGTCTATAAAGCTGTTTCCGAAGGTTTTTCCAACTACAGATTTTGATTTTCTTACAGATGTATGAGGTTTGGCTCATTAATGATACTGGCAGAACATCGTATTTATCTCGTTAGTATGAAATTCCCTAGTCAGCAAGGTTAATCAGAGTCCTTTTATTAATCAGTGTAATGCACTTTAAGTACTTTGCTTATGGCCCATAGCTGCTGGTTCCTTGGGTGGTAGTCATATTTTTAATTAAAATAACCAATGAATGATTTCGCTTGAAAACTTTCTGGCACATACTCGATCTACTTTACTGAGCAGCAACTGCTGTCCAAATATCTTAAAAGCTCTTATTTCCACTCTCCTAATGAATAATCTCTTTATCGCCTATCTTTCCTCTTTGCTGGAAATTCACTCTCCAGCTTTCTCACGATCATCCTAGGATTCTTTCCCCCTCCTAGATGTTCAAACTTGGTTCGTTTTTAATTTTACAATTCCAGGTTGCTTTTTTTTTTCCCCGCTTCTCCTCCCAGAGGAACTCCGGCAGTTATCCTAGAAATATGAGCTATTAAAAAATAGCCAAGAATTGTGCTTCAGTCTATAATCCGCCAGGACTGTGTAAATACGCGGGCACAGGCAGAGCAAATGCCTGCTAATCCAGCCACGACCAGCGTGTGTAACCTTTGGCTGTAATAACAGCGGCATCTTGTGTGTAGGGTTCTTTGGACTCAGAGAACATTAGTTGATAAGTGTTGAGAGCCCAGGCTTACCAGAGATGTGTGCAGACTCCCCAGATGGGTGAACAGGACCAAAACCTCTTCCAAAAGACAGCCAAAATACTCCTTACCGTAGCCCCTAACCTGGGGGGCTTTCCACCCAGCTACTCACTCCTACCTCTTTGGTCAGATATCAGCTAATCTCTCTCTCGCTCTCTTTTTCACACACACATAGGATTATTCTTACAGGGGTTAGATGTGTAACATTCCTTTAGAACTTTTATCCACCAGTGAGAACTATCAGTTTAGAGGTGAATCGCATTCAACCTTCAGATCAGGGACAGCTACTGTGATTGGGGGAGACAGAGACTGAGAGACTGAGAGACTGAGTCGC